AGTCCAGCTAGCATCTTTCTGCTTGTTTTATTTCTCTGTCACTCTCCCCTTTTTCTCTCCTTTCTCTAAACCAAAAGCCTGATCAACTAAAGCTCCATAAGCTTCAAAGATTCTCTTCTTTTCTTGTTTGGTAGTAAAACTGAAAACTACATAGGTTTCCCTTTAAAGAACCTTGATCATCCCTGATCTAAAAAATTGTGGTTGACCTGATTTATCAGAGTCAAGTACCCATTTCAGTTTCTTTTGACTTGGAGGCGTAGAGTTAGCTCCGCTTATAACAGCTACCCTCAGAGGAAGTAAGACTGTCAGAATCTAAATAATCTTCACAAAATAAACAAATAACAAAAAGATTGCTCATTCCTATTCTTTCCTTTCCTTCCCTTTCTCTTGATTTTATTGTATTTCTTTCCCCTTAAGAAATACATATAAAATTGCTCCCCATCATCTTGTGCCCTGCTGTCACTATTGAGACCCAGGCTCACAAGCAGTCCGACCCCCCTTTAACTAGACCCCCAGCCCCTTTGATCCTCCGGATTAAAGGTTGGTGCGGACGCGGAGACGCCCCTCGCAAGTACAAGCCTCCCGCAAAGCGAGCCGCGTTCGGAGACTCGCACTCCCGAGGATCGTTCCGCGTCGGCACAGATCTTCAATCCTGAGGACAAAAGGGGCCGGGGGTCGAGTCAAGGTTTGGGGAAGCAAGATAACTTGAAGAATATACGAGATTAAGGATATTCTCGGTCGATTCTCCCCTTCCCCCACACACCCACTCGATCTCTCCATCAACCAACCCCTTATCGGAATCCCAGTTACAAAGTCAGATTGAGTGAAAACAGTCAAAAGAAAAAAAAATCAAATATGAATGGAAAAAAAATAAAAGCAAAAAAAGATTGAACATCATGGGGAAAAAAAATGTTTTCCTTGTTATAGAAGGAAATATCTTCGCTCTTCAACCGTGTACGGTGATCAAACACTCTGTCATTCAAGATTTGGTGAATAGACTGTCATAGTTGTCATTATTCCCAATCTTAATTAGTGCGATCATTCCGAAAGGATGATGTTGTTATTCAAATCGAAAAAAAAGAAAGAAAAGAAAAATCTCAACGGAGTCGGATAGTCGAGTCCAATCAGCTCTTAGTAGCTGTGGACCGGCTCGGTTTGCATCAAATGATGGCATCGGTCGAAGGATGGAAACCTTTGGTTTCTCGTATCCAATCAGCTCTTGGTGGCTATCGATCAGATCGCACTCCATATGCATCAACTGATTGCATCGATCGAAGTGTGGAGTCCAAATGGCTCTTGCTTGCTATGGATCGGCTCTGGGTGTTTTTCATCAACTGTTGGCATCAAAGGATAGAATCCTTCGGGTAGTCGTAGACCAAATAGCTCTTGTTAGCTATGGATCGGTTTGCGTGGTCCTGCTTGCCACATCAATCGAAATTGAGTGGGGTAATCAAAAAAATTTGATCGATGCATCGATTGGTTGCATCGGTTCGAGCGGTGATTTTCTTCGAGTCGTCTAATCCAAACAGCTCATGCTAGCAATGGATCGGCTCGGCATCGGAGGATGCAAAATTCCTACCAGCTGTTGCTGGTCATGCATCGGCTCTGGCTCCGTGTGTCGAATTCGGGATCTTCTGGTCGAATCCAACCAGCATTTGTTTGCTTGGAATCGGTCGAGTCCAGACAGATCTTGTTGGCCATGGATTGGCTAGGCATATACTTTGAACAGTCGAGTGCAAAGAGCTCTTGCTGGCTATGGATCGGCACGGGCTCCATGTGCATCAATTTTGCATCGAATTTGGAATCTTCTGGTCAAATCCAATCAGCATTTGTCTGCTATGGATCGGCTCGGTCTTGCTTATCCATGAGGATAAAGCAAAAAAAAAAACCATGTCGGATCCTCGAGTCCAAACAGCTCCTGTTGGCTATGGATTGGCTCGGCATCAAAGGATATTATCCTTCGGAGAGTCGAATCCAAAGAGGTCTTGCTGGCTATGGATCGACACGGTCTCCATATGTGCATCGACTGTGCATCGGATTCGGGATCGTATGGTCGAATCCAATCAGAACTTACTCGCTATGGATCGGGTGGGGTTTCCTTATCCATCAGGATAGAGCTCAGAAATCCAAATCAGATCGTCGTATTCGGGTCGTATGCATCAATGGATGGCATCGAAGGATAAAATTCATCCAGATGATTGACTTGAGTGGTCCTGCTTGCCACATCAATCAAAATTGAGTGGGGTAATAAAAAAAGGATCGCCGGTTCAAGGTCTTTCAAGACTTGGGTACCGCCGCCTCTTTTGCTGATGCACTCAAGAGTGCCGAAGAAAATCCCTATCATCGGGATATGTACTTGGCTCTAGGTTTTCAGTGATTGTATATTAACCAGAAAAAAAAGAGAGAAGACGAAGTCAGATAAAAAGGACTCGTTCGGTTCAAAAGAGAATGACGAGTGAGAAGAGATTACGTTGGTAATATACTCCACCTGGTGTGGGAAGATGGTCCAAGTTGCTTGAGGTTGTCAAAAACCGGTAGATTAATCTTGAGGTCAGCTGGTCAGTTCTTCTTGGGCATTAAAAACGCAGGCGCAGATGGCCCGAGTTGCTTGAGGTTGTTAGACCCCGGTAAAATAATTCTGATTTGCTAAAATAATGCTGCTTCGCTGCGTGACTGGGATGCTGAAAGGATTTTGGAGTCAATGATTCGTGAGTGAGAGCAGAAATAAGGTGCTTCTAGCTCACATATAATGTACAACGTGTTGAGTTGCTGGCCGCCGACGCTGTAGCCACCTG